CATAAAATAGTAAGTAGATCTTTTCAAATCCACTTGTTTAATCTTTTTAGATTAAGGGAATGCATCCAATCTTGGTCAAACTTCACTATTACGTAATTGATATTACAATTAGAATCTTACTAACAATACAAGGGACTCACCCTTTATATAGGGTCAAACACCTTAGACAAAGTCAAAGTCAAACTATCTAAGAAAAGTCAAACACGATGACTTTTACACAATTATAGACAAAATTAACTTTCAAAACGAATACAATTTTACACTGATTTTCAGTCCTAACAAGCTCCTATCTAATAGATACATAGCCTCTAGTTTAAGTAAAACATTAGTAAAAGACTTGTATCAATATTGAATCATCATCGAGACCCTTCTGGTTCTATTATAAGGACCAATTAGAGCCCCTCTGGTTCCTAATAAAACAAACTCTTTGTTCCAAAACAGAGTTTATCCATAACCATTGGCCATAGGCCAAGTTTTTCGCTTCTTAATAACATCAATACGGCCAAATTTTGATATTGAGTTGTTACAATCTGCTTTGATACCAACTGATAATCCCAGATTAATCATTCAATCAACATATTATCAATAGAATTTTTTTTTGGTTATTTTGAGGGATTTTTAAGTTATTTTTGGCAGTAAAAAGACTTTCTGGTTGATTTTGAGAGACTATTTCGGTTTTTTGATTGATTTTTAAGAGACATTCGGGTTTTCTATCGATTTTGAGGGACTTATTCGGGGTTTTTTTTAGTAGATTTCGTAAAATTTCTCAATTTTTAGGATGTGATTCTCGATATCCTTTACCTCTTTTCTAGGTTTCTAATTTTGTTTCTTTATGCATCTAGGATTTATTATTAAATAGAATGTTTTGTAAATTAAAATTAACTAACCAAATTGAAAGAGCCTTGATTAACTAAACAAATTTCTTCATCGCTCAATTTGTCTTCCGATTTTATCTTCATTATTGACCGAGTTCTTCATTCATCACTCAACACATCTTGAATTAATCTAAATCGGAAGCTACCTTAACCGATGTGACATCCGGAAATTTAAATACCAGGTTAGTAGCTAGATAGCACTTTAGAAATATTATTAACATTCAAGTAGAGCGATTAGAGCTTAAGTAGTTAGAAATCCCGGCAGGTTGTGTAGAAAACACTATTTCGACCCGTAATGAACCGGATCGTCTTATAAAATGCCAAACACTTCAAATAATTTTTAAAACTTGCATAAAATATAGAGTCTACGTATTTTAAATACTTTTTTTTACTTAAAATTATATTTAAGAAATTTATTTATCTCATAAAATAGGAATTTGGGTTTTTTTCTCAATATCTCACAAAAGTACCCAACTAATTAAATTATGGGCTAAGTTTTTACAAAAAAAAAAATTGAAGGGAGGCCCATAGGCCCACCACATGGCCGCCCCCCTCCTCTACATATAAATACTTTTGAAAATTCAAAACACTCATTTCTCATTTATCTCTCAACCTTTCACCTCCTTACTCTCCCTCACTTTTCATCTCCTTACTCTCTCCCTCCATCTTCTTCTTCAAGCAAAATTCAGCCTTTCATAGAAAAGAAAAGGGAATTCAAGAAACAAAACTTGAAGAAATCATCTTCTTTTAATCAAAGGTAAGAACTTGTTAGTATTTTGGTTTCATTTTATGCACTTTTAGKGCCATTTTCTTGTCATTTTCATACTTTTAAGATTGCAAAGGAGAGGTGTTCTTCATTCTAAGTTCTAAGGGTAGAATTTACACCAAAGACATGAAAAATATTCTTAATATGGTGAAAATTCGTGACCAAACCAACTAGAGCTTTTGAAAAGCAAGAAAACCCCTTCATTTCCTGCATTTTTGTGTCTCTTATGGAATCTGAGTTCTCTTTCATTTTTGTTACAAAGAATAGTGTATTTTATATATTCTTACTTTAATATTGAATAGTAGAGTGATCTTCTTCCATAAAATCGTCTTTTTTGAAAATTTTGATGCATAAAAATCCATTTTTGTAGAAAAGAATGACTTTTTTCTGGACAGATTCATTGCATGAGTTTGGAACGACCATATCTGGTTGTGTATTAACCCAATAAGCATGAATATTTTTCCTCAATAATATTTAGCATATTAGCTTTCAAACCCAGGTGGAATCATGAGAAAATATGACTTTATGACCTCACAACACCCAAAACAAATTTGGTATGCAACAGTGGTCGGTCAAAAATTTTGTGTCTCATTGTTCATCTATAACTCTTAGAAGACACATAAAAAATCATGAAAATTTTCCTCTGGAGTATAACCTAAAGTGTTAGATTTCAAAAGAGTCTAACCCCACCCAAAAACATGGTGATTTAGTGGTTCAACCGATTTTTACAAAATAAGTGTGCAATCTGTCCAGACTTGACAGATTTCCACATGCATGTTCAAACAACCATAACTCCCAAAATATACATCCAAATATAGTGATTCTTTTTGGAAAAGCTATATTTATGTGTTAGATTTAAAATGATTCATGAACCACTGGAAAATAATAAGTATAACTCCTTCAAAAGGGTGTAATATTAAGAAGGGGTTTTCTGTTTTGAAAGCTATAATCACTGTTTTGGTAAAAACAAATTTGAGACCCTTCCACTTATCCAAAAATCTTGATTTTTGGTCATAATGATCCTAACTCAGTATAATAAAACATATAAATTTTTTTGGAAAATATACATCTTGGATGAGGGTGAACCATTGACATTTTTGAGTCACAAAGATTCTGTCAGCATGCATGATTTCCTAAAATCACTAAAGATTGGATTCTTAAACCATAAACCCCATAATAAGCATATAAATTACTTAAAACTTGTTTTTTTTATTCTTAAGAACATAAAGAGGCATTTATAAGACGTATAGGTAGAATAGTAATCTTAACCTTTAAGAGTTTGACAACCGTTTGTTTTCAATAGGATTCACTAAAAGGACTTTACCAAGACATACCATTTGATCACTCAACCATCTTCTCCGTGAAAGAAAATGTGAGTATTCACGGACCCTTTTTTTTAAATCCATTGTTATTTGAGGGAAAAGCACGTATAAAAGTAGTTGATGTTTGTATGAAATATACAATGTGTTTAAATCATGGATACAAATTGATTATATGAAAAATGCATTGAAATGAAATTGTG